TCGAAAAAATTTAAACACTATCCCTTACATTAATTAGATTACATACTTATTTTTGGGAAGTGATATCAAACTAAGAACTATATATTACTGATAATTAAAATTAAAATGGAAGAAACAGCAAAGAAAAAAAATAAAGATCTATAAAAAAAATTTGACCAATTTTATTTTGTCGCACTGTTATATATGAAATACAATTTAAAAATTCATATTCAGTATATTTTCACATAATACATATGCTGTTGTAATTCCTTTAAAGGTTGCTTGTCAACTTGTATCCACAGTTTCCTTTTTTGGCGTGTTATGGGTCAGCAATAGCATAGGCTAATGGAAATATATTCAATAAAGTATTTTATTGAATTTATTTTATTAAAAGTATTATACATCCAAACTTACCTCATTTTCTGTATCTTCGATATCTTTAAGAGTTTCTCTATATCTTTTGAGTAGTCGTTCATATGGAGATGTTTTAACAAGTTTTTTAGAATACCGAAAATCTTTCTTTGCAGGAGTTGAGCCTATTTAATTTGAAATATATAATGTTTCTTTAAATTATAAATATACAAAAGTATAAATTTCAATGAATAATTTATCATACCTGTTGGACTATCGCGATATAAATCTTGTGCAAAGAATTTGTCAATTTGATCAAGTATCTCTTGTATTTCTAAAATAATTTTACTATTCATATTTGGTGTATTAATATTTTCGTTTTCAAGCTTTTGACTTATTTCTAGAAATATATTCATAAATGCGATTTTATAATCATTTAAGCAATTTGTATGTTTATTACTAGTGGTATAAACTTTCACATATACGTCCTGAAATCACAATATTAAAAATAAAATAACAATCGAAATAAAATTAAATAATTTGAATATAAACTTACATTAATTGCTGATAGAATAAAACTTTTATCTTTTTCCATTTTTTGTTGCATTTCCGTAATATTACGTTCCACGCAATTTTTAAAATTCATTAATGTATCACAATTTTTATTCAAATCTACTTGGAAATCATTTATTAATATTTTAGCTTGTGCTACTGCATTTTCGTGTAACAATCGAGACTGTCAAAAAAAATGAATATTATATTAAATAATAATACGACAGAGAATTTACTTTCTTAAAAATTTAGCATGTTTTTTACCTCATCTGTTACTTCAACAATTTCTTTTTTTATTGTATCTAAATCATTTCTAAATCTTTCTTGTAAATCGTGTTGCTTTTCTATATTTATTCTGCAAGTATCCGAAACTTGATTATTTATAACTTCACAAGTTTCATCAATAGTGTTTAATAGAGTGTATACTGTAAAATGATTTTCTTCTTCCTCTTTTTGTACTTCATTGAAACAATGTTGCAAATCATCCATCATCTACAAATCAGATAATATCAGAACTAGAACAATATCGTGACTTTTAAAAATAACGTACCTTTAAAAAATTTGTCCGTTTTTCAATAATATCATTTTGATCTTGTCGAATATTTTCAACATATTCTTTAATTTTTAACATATTATTATTTAAATAATCCCGCTTTTCAGTTAAACATTTAGAAATTGATATTATTGATTCTTTCGTAGAGTCTACCAAGTTGTCAATATTTTGAGAAATTTCACTGTTTAATGCTTGTAAACTTTCAGCTAGTTTATTTTCTATTAATTGATCAAATTTTTGTACAATATGAGAAGAAATATTATTTAACATACTAATTTTTGCATTAGTCATAGTTATAACATTTTTATTCTCACTTTCTAGCCATTGTTGATAGTTTAAATACTGAAAAACAAGAATATTAATTTTATACTAATAATTATGAAATTTTATAATAAAGACATGAAACGTATTTTGTTACATACAGAATCATTTATATTTTTCTCCAATTTATGAATTATATTTTGTTCTAAATTAAGGAGATCCTGAGACATAACTTGTATCGACTTTTCAATGTCCTCACTAAATGAAATATTTTGCGTATCTAAGAAAACAAGCTAGTAAATACATTTTTATTTTTATAAAATTCAATATTCTTATTGAATGAATATTTTACTTACCAATATGATTCTTCATAGAAGTACAGAATTGAATTAAATTTTCAGTATGTGATGCAACATCAGCTTCAATTCTACTTATTTGTCCTTTAATATTATCTTTAAATTGTTGTGCAACAGATTTATTTCGCTGTCCTATTTGTCTAAAAGTATAAAATATTAATTTTAAACTAACAAATATAATTTAAAATTCAAGATCAAATCTTAAAAAAAATGCTCACAGTTTACGAAAAATTTTTTCATGAAGTTTATTTACATCTGAAGTAGCAGTATCAGCAACATCTAAAACTGATTGTACTTGTGATAAAAGAATATTTTCAGTATGTGCATGTTTCTCAACAAGATGCTTCTGTTCCTCTTTTTCTTGTTCCGATATTATCAAGCGTGTTGACGTTGACATTAAAACATTTACTGTATTTTGCAATTGATTTTTCATATTTGATAATTCATTTGCTTGTTCAAAAGTTTTTGATTTTAATTCGTTAAATATTTGCTGAAATAATTTTTATTTCTTTATTATATAACAATAGAAATATAATGGGAATTATAAAATTTGAATCAATCATCACCTCTTTAGAATTCATACATTCTTCGAGCGCTTTAATATGACTTAATTTTTCCTCTATTTCTTTACTTTGAAATTCCATTAAAGATAGCATTTCATTGTAACTATCTGGAGTCAAATAAATACCATTTCGTTCGCGACATGCTATTAAATCTTTCTTTAATCTTTCAATTTCTTCAATATATTCTTGAAGTAGTGCCTTTTTAGAGAATTTCTGATTAATCTCAGGGCGATTCGTGATATTTTTAGCACGATGTGCATAATCTAATGTTGACAATGTTTCCTCGAGATTAATACTAGCAGGAGATACCGTAGCGATTATTGAAGTTCTAGTCCGTCCACCTAATGATTCTTGAAGTAATCGCGTCAATTTAGATTCTCTATACACAAAAAATGAATAAAAAAATTTAATATCTGAATGTATGTTATGTATTGTAAATTCAATATCAAAATTTATATTAATTTCACCTGTAAGGCACATGTGGAGTTTTTTCTGCAAGTGCTGTTATAACTCGACCTAAAGTTAATAGAGACTGATTGATATTGCCAGCTTCTCTTGCTCTTTTATCAACAGCACCAGACCTTCCAACATTCTCACTGCCAGCCAAATCAACTAAATTTAGTTTCCCTGTTTTCAATAACTCTTCACCATCAATAGTATTCTCCCTTATATGAATAGTAATAGAAAATATTGTATGGGACCGACTAAAACATAAACAATATTAATATTAGATTTTATAAAATAAAACAAATATAAGTCATTATTTAGGACAAACAGAATATCAACCTTGAATGTGCATTCATCAAAGTAGCTGCAGTCTGTCGTTTATCAGATCCTTTCTGAAGAATATTAAATACTTCATTTTTAGTATGTATTGATATTTCTTCTAATCCATGCACTATTACAGCACCCTTTTTAGCTGGATCTTCATATATCCTTTTAAATTGTTATATACAACAAATACAACAAATTTTAGTATAGTTTTAATTTTATTAAAATAACAGTACTTGAGCAAAAAACACAGAAATTAAATACCTTATTTTCGCAGCATCATCGCTAGGAGACAATAAATCAAATATTTCTTCATTGTATAATTCTAAAAAGCTGATCCTCACTGAGTATTCCTGTACACCTAATACACGCAACTCATCGAATAAATGACTCACAGCTCGTGGTATAATTCCAGCAGTGGTATCCTGAAAATTTTACACATATATACATATATATATATGTGTATTTGTATATATACGTATATATATATGCATACATTACAATATATAATATATGTTGTCTATTTCAAGACTACTATTGGTAGAAAGAAAATGTTAAACCAACTGTTTGCCAATGTAATGATGGATCATTGTCAATTCCTTCCATTGTAAAAGTTTTTCCAGTACCAGTTTGTCCATAAGCAAACACTGTGCAATTATATCCGGCCAAAACTTCCTCCAGTAAGGGACTGACAACCGCATTATACACTTGAATCTAAAAATTTTATAACAATTATTAATTCATTCTGAAATACTGTCTAATTGAAATACGCACCTGCTTCGAATTAGGTCCAAATACTTTGTCAAACGTAAATTTCTTTGTAAATTTATCATGAGGTCTTTCACGAACAACCACCTCTTTATTAGATGGTATATCAACAACTGTTATCGATTTTCCTACTTTCTCACTATTATTTATTGGTCTGTCACAAAATAATGCAACATTAATACAGGGTTGCGTTTTTAAATAAAATTTCCCAAATACTTAATATTTTAACGTGCAATTACCTGACACGGACAAAGACTTGTATATGTTGCTTTTTCTCTTTCTTCATATTACGTGTGTCATTCATTTTTGTGAAATAATTCTTTTTTACAGTTTAATCGTCTTCACTCTTTCATTCAAACATTAATTTCCTTTTTCTACAGAACAGTTTACTAACTTTCACATTGTATATAAACGCTTCTTGGTGTTATTAACCGTTGAACAATTCAAAAACTGCGTTTTGTATACATTTCGAAAGAGGTCTCTTAAATCGAGCTGTACACAAAGTCATAAAAATTTATCCTTAACTGGAAAAATTGGTCTTTCTCTAAATTACGCTAAGGCAATAGCTTTTAATTATATTGCATTGCGGTAAAATTAAATATACCTGCTGTGTAATTTTCACAATAAATAATTAGCAAAGAATCTTCACGTATAGATAAATGTAGTAATGCGTTCTAAAACTCTTCCAATTCTCTTGAATACGCAAATATAGCGAAAAATTCAAATCAATTTGAACGTGGTTTGATAAATATGTGAAATTATATATTACGAACAAAAATAATGCTTTTTTCTCATTTTCATAGGCTAGCTGCAATTTACAAAATATAATCTTTCAAGATTTTTGAACTAAACGTAGTTCGTGAAAAATTACATATTACTTACATTAACAAGTGTTTCAATTTAACTGACTATGAGTAAAATTTTGAAATCTTTATATGCATTTTGTAAATCGAATAGAATATAAGAAGAATACTGAGAACACTATCATAAAAGTTCACAAACTAATCTTCTTAATTAACTTTTTTTACAAATGAAAATTTGATGGACAGTGGATATTGAAATACTAGCGTCACGTAGCGGTAAAATAATGGAACTAATCGTCATTGTCATACACCATTGCGCTCCTTGTCTTACCTTTGTAGCATACATCTATCCTCGTTGCATGCCATTGCTTTTTTTTTTTATTACGTACTTCAAAACTGAAATTCAGATATCCATCATTCAATCAAGCAATACAAATTTTTATGTTTCTATTATAATTTATTCAAAAATCAAATATCATAATCAATTTTATTATAATAATTAATCAATTTTATAATCAATAAATATACAATTTACAAGATGATTCCATTCGTGAGCATATTTACATAGAGCTTATTCTACAGTTTTTTAGTTTTACTTCTAGATTTTTCCAAAAAAATAACAGATAATTTCTTCAGAAAATAAGTGCTCTGCTATACAGATGGTATAAATAGATTATTTTTGTAGTATTTTAGTTCATTTATACTTTCTTTGACATCAGATAGTGCTCTGTGCTCACAATTCTTTCTTGGTGTATTTTTATAAATTGTTGGATGCCATCTCCTAAAATAAATTTTGTGTTACTTTTGAAAACAATATAGATTAAGTATAATACGTTACTAATACTTATCACTAGATTTTTATGCATTTTTATATATTTATAAATATAACTAAAAAAATGGAACCTAAATAGAAATCTACTACATATTAAAATAAATACTAGACCTTGTACATTATATTATATGTATTAGATGCATTTTTTCCTATTACAATTTCCTACAAATGCATACAAATTTGTAATCTAGTTTTCATGAAATGTATATTAACTAAAATGTATATAAATTTAAATGCAAGTACCTGACTAGTTCTTTAATTGCACTAACATCGATAATTCTATAATGTAAATGATCATTGACTAATGGCATAAGTTTAAGTAAAAATAAACGATCCATGTAAATTGTATTGCCAGCTAGAGGGCAAGTTTGATAGGGAATGTATTTTTTCAAAAAATCAAGTAACATTTGCTCTGCATCTTTTAAATTAATTTCACTACGTCTAGATTCTATTGTCAGGCCTGTCTGAAAAATATGATTTCTTTGATAAATATCAGTTATAAATACAAATATAAATATGATAAATATCAGTTAGTAAATACAAATATAAGACTAAAATTACTATTAAGAAAGATTTAAGTGCTTAAGTTACCTTTGCGTGATGATTGATACACCATTTATTCATATTTTCTAAAATCACATCTGGTTGATTAATTACAAGATTAAACTCTTCACTCACTACGTTCAAATTTTGATCAGTTATCAAGCAAGCAATTTCCAAAATTGTGTCCTTTTCTATGTCAAGTCCAGATAACTAAAAAAAATTTAACATTTTTGACTGCTACCACATTTATTCTGATTTGCGATTTCTGAGCTTATTTTGCTAGTGGCATCTAGCAACATTATCATTAACAATTAAAAAAATGAAATACATATTGAAAAATTATTATTCAGTTTTTTAATTATCAATGTTGATATAATATGTCAGGAACGTATTATCCCATCAATATATTAGAACAAATGAATGAAGATCACAGATCGTATGTCATGCTATGATGATTATATGTATATAATTGTCGTTTTGATCAACTTAATAGTCAAATATAATCAAAATAATCAAATATATAAACAAATTTTTATAAATATGATTTACTTCAAATATTTCATTCATCAGAACGCCACCGTCATAATTTAAGGAAAAATATGAAATATTTACTTCTGTGTCCATCCATACGATGTAATCAGCTAAGTTAACTGCCATATTTTCATTCGATGAAATCTGAAAAGTAAACTCTGTTTATAATTATATTAAAAAAAAATTTTTAAACAATATATTGTATTGTATATTATATTGAGCTTTCTCCTTCTAGATTCTATTACTATTGCCATTTATAGATTTATACAAACTGAATTTTTATCTTTGTAGACATTATAAGCGTCTTCGAACAAACAGATATTTTAACGTATTTCTCATGTAAAAAGACATAACCTAAATCTAACCTAAAATTTTTTTTCATAGCTAAAATTTTATTCAAATTATTTGAAATATCTATATATATAATTAATTATACAAAATATAGTAAATTGTAACTTTCATTAAATATTTAGTAAAAATAAATTAGCTACAATATACTTACTGAATATGAAGTATGGATAACTAAACAATTTACCTGCTTTAATTGATCTAGAATAAATCGATTTTTCTTCTACCTTTCCTTTATATACAATATCAATTATATAAAAAAAAATTTTAAACTAGTCCAGTAAGGTCAAGAATATAATATCTATATAAAGATAATAGGACATCTTATTGAAAATGGCGGGAAATTGTACTTTTGATATTTTATAGAACATAATAAAATTTAATACTATAATATATCTTTACATATTCTTTACCAATTTTAATACTATCATATATTAAATATTAAATACTACATTTAATCTACTATAATAATGTACTGATGACTTACTATTTTACTCGCTACTATTATTTTCGCCATAACTAAAATTATTGTACTTTTTATACAAATTTTATGTAAAAATTAACACACTTCAAGTTTTTCCTACGACAATAGATAGTAATTTTAATGAATAATTCTCTTCAGCAATAATCTCCTGTCAATGATTGAAGTAAACTGTATGCATGTATTTTAACTTATAACAGCATGTAAATACGGAATAGGACGAAATATTACATATTATGTATAGAGATACACTATCAGTATGATATTGGAAACTGCTTAAATCAAAGATAATATTTAGTAGATACGGAGCTGTTCTTTCGAGAGAAGAATTGTTGGCCCTGAAAAGGGCCGTTTTTTTTGTTCTTGGAAGAAAAATTAAGCTCTCTCTCCGCGAATTCTGCGAGCCAATTGGATATCCTTTGGCATAATGGTAACCCTCTTAGCGTGAATAGCGCAAAGGTTTGTATCTTCGAACAGACCAACTAAGTATGCTTCGCTAGCTTCTTGAAGTGCCATAACTGCTGAACTTTGGAAACGCAGATCAGTTTTGAAATCTTGAGCAATTTCACGAACAAGCCGTTGGAATGGTAATTTACGGATCAAAAGCTCGGTACTCTTCTGATATCTTCGAATTTCACGGAGAGCAACAGTTCCTGGACGATAACGATGGGGTTTCTTCACACCTCCAGTTGCAGGTGCACTCTTACGAGCAGCCTTTGTCGCTAATTGTTTTCGAGGTGCCTTACCACCGGTTGATTTGCGAGCAGTTTGCTTGGTACGAGCCATTGTATTCCTTACAGAAAGCCAACTCAAAATGCGATTTGCATCCTTAGTGGCCGATTTATATATATTACAAGATTGGAGCTTCGAGTGTCTGATTGGTGAATTGTTGAATTGAAGTGGGGAGCGGACGAGTGGAAGTGGTGCTAACGCTTCGGATTGGGCTACGGAGTAGTAGTGGGGAGAAAACAGTTTTCGTTATATATACAAGTATTTCGTAATTTTCGGGTTAGAATTTAGTGTCACTTGTGTTGTGTACACTTGCATTTATTCAGAATGACTGGTCGAGGAAAAGGTGGAAAGGGTTTGGGAAAAGGAGGCGCAAAGAGACATAGAAAAGTACTGCGAGATAATATTCAAGGAATTACTAAGCCAGCTATTCGAAGATTGGCGAGAAGAGGTGGCGTTAAGAGAATCAGCGGCTTAATATACGAGGAAACACGTGGTGTCTTGAAAGTATTTCTTGAAAATGTTATTCGAGACGCAGTTACGTATACTGAGCACGCCAAAAGAAAAACTGTAACTGCTATGGATGTAGTTTATGCTTTGAAACGTCAAGGCAGAACATTGTACGGTTTCGGCGGTTAAACTATAAGTTGAGATCAGTTTTTGCAATCGGCCCTTTTTAGGGCCACCACGTCTTTTTAGCATGTATGATAACTCTTTGTTCGTACAACAAATCACTGTACTTAAATTACAAATTTCTACTTACTATCTGCTACTAAAAATTACTACTTAAAATTAAAAACCAAGATATATTTAATTAAATATTAATGTAAAAATCAGTGAAGAATCATTATAAAGTAGATGAGATATTAATTAATACGATATAGTATTTTCTGAATCATGTTGGAAATAAACTTATCGTAGTTATATTCTAAATAGTCAATATAAATAAAAATTGCTTATATTACACTTACATTTCCTTTACATTACGTTTCCCAACATCTGCAGCTAATTTTACTATTTATAAATGAAATCCCATTAATCGTAAATCATTATCTTCATTTATTGCGTAAAACATGTACGATACAGCTACAAGCCTGAAATATAAGTCACTGTTATTATTTTATGAATATATACTTCAAAAATACGTTGGATGGCATTAGGTTAGAAGGATCAAGAGGAAAATAACAGAACACGAGTAACAGTTCCAGTAGAAAAGAGCAATTGGTGGCCCTGAAAAGGACCGATTATTTTATGCTTATGATATCTTTTCGTTTATTTCATACTTATATTGTTTTGATATTTAGTAACTGCCTTTATGCCCTCGGTGATTGCATGTTTAGCAAGTTCTCCAGGTAATAAAAGCTTGACAGCAGTTTGCACTTCTTTCGAGGTGATAGTCTTTAATTTATTGTAAGAGATTAAATGATGCGACTCTGAGACAATTTTCTCGAATATATCATTCATAAAGTTATTCATGATGTTCATAGCTTTGTTCGAAATATTCATATCTGGATGAACTAGTTTAAGCACTTTGCAAATATAAATTCGATAATTCTCCTTCTCCTTTCTTTTCTTCATATTCACTTTCTTATTTTTCTTAGGTATGTTAGTCCCTTCAATTGAGCCCCTACGAACTTCGGATGACATGTCTGGCAGAAAACACTCGTCGAAATATACTAAATACACAGAGTATCTAGAATCGTTAAAATATAAACACACGGAATATCCATTCGAAGTAAAATGTTTATACGTACAAACACTCACAATATACAGAATATCTACCGCTTATCTTCTGTTCCTTTTATAGTTTTAACAGTTCAGCTTCATTGTAAATACATTACTAAAAACGTTAATGCTCGATTCTGATTGGCTGTAAGGTTTAGATTAGATTTAAACGTGAAATGGTAGAGACTAATATCAAAGCAATCTACAGTGAGTCCGATTAATATTCGAACATTGAATATTTAAACAATTATAATTTTGTAAAAATAAATCGTAACAATAGTAAACTTGGACCTATCTTAAACAGCAATGAGCAATTAATCAGCATAAATTGCCGCGGCGCCATTGTATTTGCTTATTGTTAGTACGAAACCATTTTCCTCGAAAAATTTCTCTTTTTCTATGCAGCTGTCGTATCGTAAAAAACGATGCAATCGTGTTGGAACAAACAACAATAGCTAAGAACGCAGAAGGGACAGAATCCCCACTGTTCAGTGCCTCGAAGGATCGATTTCGAAAAATATCACCGATCTCGTAGTTTCTTCAGTTAATTTTTCAACGATCCTTAATTGCCTTTGCTTCTAGTACTTTTCCGTCAAAAATACTCGCATTTCCTTCAAGAAAACGCAGATAAAGAAGAGGTATATAAAGAAAGATCAATTAGTGGATTTTACACAGTTCATCATGATTTCGATGAACGTTAAGTCTTCTTATTTTCTTTTCTTTGTTGCTTTAGTTGTGAACCGCAATGTCCGCAGTGTCCTCTGCGCGTCAATTCCGAACGCGTTTGAAATTAATCGTTGGAATACACACTTCAAATCCAATTCTACTTACGGTAAGTATGTTCGTTTTGCAAGAGAAACACACGTTCAAGAGTTTGATAAAAAAAAAAAAAAAAAAAATAGAAGAGATAGACGACTTGGATGCGAACAGAATCGCCGGTGGACAATACGCACTGCCGAATCAATTTCCATTCATGGCTGTGGTGCATCAACTGCTGGGCAATGGAATAGTGTCGAAATGCGGCGGAACGATCATTTCTTCCAGATGGGTGTTGACAGCGGGCCATTGCGTAGCATCCGGCCCCTACAAGTTTCTCGTCGTCTTCGGCACCCGTGACCAATCAGGCATTGGCTACAATTTTTACAATGGGCCTGGTGTAGCAATGCTAACGAACCAAGCTGTACTTCATCCAGATTACCAAATCATTGTGAACGATGTCGCATTGTTATACATGCCGCAGGACATTCCTTTCGGACGTAAGAAATTCTATGTATATTGCTCGAATTATTTTTATGTATATTGCTTAAATTATTTCTCGGATTTTTAGTCAACATTCAACCTATCACGCTCGCGGGTCGTGACTACATTGGGGAATCATTCGCCAACAAAATGGGCATAATCATCGGATGGGGGAAAGATGGACCTTACGGCACTGGGACGAGCAAACTGAAGTATGCGATTTTACCGATTATTTCGAATTACGATTGCTCCATCTACTGGGCTATAACGGAGAAACATATATGCACATCGGCCGCATACCACAAAGACGCTTGTCAGGTAAACAAACACGTTGTTCCTCTTTTTAGTTTCCTTTGCAGCTGTCTCCCCGGAAATGTGAGAATTTCATGGTTTTATTATATTTCGGAAACACAGGGAGACAGCGGTGGTCCTCTGATCGTGTTGGTAAACGAGATGCCTCTCCAAGTCGGAATCGTCAGTTACGGAGACAGATTCTGTCCCAGTGACAAACCTGGCGTGTTCACTAGAGTTAGTCCATTCATCGATTGGATTCAAGAAGTTACCAATCTTTAAAAGAAACTCACACTTGTATTACCAGTTTTGTACGGCTGACGATGGATATATATATTTCGTGCATATTTTATTTATATAAATAAAAACAATTGCTAAATCTTCTATTTATTAATTCTATTTATTAATTTCATTCGAAATCATGGGAAAATTACGATTTAAAAATATCTTTTGTTTAATCGGAATACGAGACAAAAATTCAAGCTGTCGAAACGTAGTAATTGTAAATTAATGGGTTTCTTTCATATTTCCATTTCCCTGTAAGAATTCCCACGTTTTATGTAACATTGAATTTCGATTCAATATACGTTAGAAACAGCATGAATTCGAATACCCAAAAGTGGTTTGATGGAATACAAGCAAGTCTTTTGTTCTCAGAAAATATTCAAGCATGCCTGTACCTGGCCAGCTGCAAGGTAGAGGGGAGAACCCCTCGTTGGCTGACTGGCCATGTGACATGTAGTTGCCTGGGGAAGGGTCCCAATAGCACAGCTTTAAAGATGCCCTGAAGTTCGTATTTTAAGTTATACTATAAAATGCATATGATACACTATCGTAACTTTACGTAAAATCATATTTTTTCTGTAGATAAAATTATTATCACTATATGACTCTCCAACGTTTATCGAATTTTAATTGGACAAATGACAATTACGGCTCGGTTTTGGTACAAAAAAAAAAAAAAAAAAAAAAAACGTCTAAACTCGTTCAAGAGATAGCGCGTTAAATACTTTACGACATTCGTTGGTACTGTGTAAGAAATACAAGAAATAGTAAAAATTTATGAACAAAAACATAATTCCATCTGTAGAAAGTACGTGGTCTCATTTCAAATTGGTGGTGGTCCAAACTTTTAGAAGATAGTGTACATATGCCGACCAACCTACAAAGAATATAACCACATTTAGAAGATGGATGAAACGAATATATGTGTGAGTGCTATGTTCGTTTTCAAGGTAAATAACCTTGATTAAAACTCTTGCAAGACGAACATTTTAGGATGCTAGCTGTTACTCCTATAATTTTCTTCTCAATTAAAAAATTTAATATATAATTTTTTAATACTATAATTTTTTAATTAGGCCTAGGAACAAGCCATTTTACTTTAAATAATTAAGAAATTTTACTGAAATTTCATTAGAAATTGCAAGGTTAATCGTTAGAAATTAAGAGGAGAGATCCATTGAAGATTTATTTATTACAAGATGGCGAAGTTGTTACTAGTTCAACTAGTTTTAAAATCTTATGATCTTTTTATTATCAATTACAACCATCGCTACAAAAGACCGAAACATCTGAAGTAAGAGATTCTTATTAATTTACAAATGGAAGAATAATATCTTGATATAAATATTAGATAATTATAAATCAATGGGAATTTTTTTAAGATGTTACTGTTATAACGATGGCAATCAATAATCTAAGTTTTGAAACCAATAAATAATTCCGTCATTTCGATAGAATTTTATAATTAACAGAAATTAATGTTGTAAGATGAAAAAAAAATCTGGTTTCGTGTCAAATTTTTTTGTATACATAACGTTATATATGGTCCAGTTGAAGTTTCAAGTGCTCAAGTGTCTACTTGTATTTCAGTGGCACCGACGCATGTTTTATCACATTCCAAATACAATTCAAACGTCGTTATCGATCTCTGGTTCTTATTAGCTTCGATTTCTGTCGATTTATTCTTTCAAATAATTTTCAAGGATCTTTTGAAATAAACTGCATCATTGTATTTCCAAGAGAAAAAAACTTTTATGACCTTTAAGTAATTTTATTATTTGTATTATCAATGCTATTTTGTATTGTCAATGCTAATTGTTTTCAAATCAACTTTTGCTTCAAAAGCTACTGTTAATGTCCAAAGAAAAAGTATCTACTCGTATATATAACCTCGGTTCGATGTGCTGTAGCTTCTGATTGGTTGATATGAAAATAGTGGGGAAGAAAGTATCGTAGAGCCGTGGTGGGGATTTCTTGAACGTATAAAACCACCAATTTCCGTGCCCAAAAGCGTACTCAGTGTTGGATAGTTCAGCGAAAGATAGATATTGTAAAATTTTAAAATGACTGGTCGTGGAAAGGGAGGTAAAGGATTGGGAAAGGGAGGTGCAAAGCGTCACAGGAAGGTACTTCGTGATAACATCCAAGGTATTACAAAACCAGCAATTCGTCGCTTAGCTCGTCGTGGCGGTGTTAAGCGTATATCTGGTTTGATTTACGAAGAAACTCGTGGCGTTTTGAAAGTTTTCTTAGAAAATGTCATTCGTGATGCAGTTACATACACAGAGCACGCTAAACGAAAGACCGTAACGGCCATGGATGTCGTATACGCTCTGAAGAGGCAAGGACGTACTTTGTATGGCTTTGGAGGTTAAAACGCAAAACAGTTTTGATTTGCGATTATCGACCAATATCGATCAAAACGGCCCTTTTTAGGGCCACAATTTTCTCTCAACTTAAGAACACTCGTTCAACTTCATTTCAAATGTATTTTGATCATATTATTTTGCAGTACATCTATGAAAATTATCCTATGTAGCAAGTTATGTAATTTAAAATACTAGTAAAAGTTTATACTCATTCTCTTCTTTAGTAGTGATTTTTTACTCATTGTAGTAAAAGAGTTCAAGTTTAACTACTAAAAGTTCATTTATTCGGGTATTAATTTCAGTTTGGTTTGAATAAACAGTTTCGTTATATTAATATAGAGTTGGTCACTAAAAAACTGAAGGGTTTGAAAAAGTCATAATTTATTCGTTTTCAATTTCTTTTATTTTCTTTCTTTAATTTTACACACAATACTGAAAAAAATCCATTAATTACATTTCCAAATAAAATAAATTAACATGTAAGTTATTTTTATTTAATGTGATTCAGTCTTTCTGTGGCCACCCTATATAATTTAATATAATCTTAACCAAGTATACAATATTTGAATATGTAACTTATTGGGCCTAATACGCGAAAGCAGAATATCGCTTTTGTCCCTTTTACCTAAAATTTAAAAAAATATTTGAGAATATAGCATCATTATTTTTTTACGTTCAGAAATTCCCTTTATCCGCAAATTCCTTTTTAGTGTTCGTATTCGAAATCGTTCAGGTATCGTCTTTGACATACAAGAAAAGGAATACGCACATAAAGAGCTTGATAATACAGCGTTGCCATATCTTGGCATCTAATGTATTATTTTTGATTTTTGTTGATTCTTGTTGAGCATACATTATTATCTGACCGCTGTAAATGTATAACCGTTGCAAAGTGATATATGATAAAATATGATACGTTAATAAAACGTATGATTAAAAAAAAAAAATTATGCGTTTAAGACTCCATTATCAAGCTTGTAAAAAACTGTACACATACTTCAGTAATTTATTAGTTAATACTATTTTATAGTAATTTATTAATTAATACAATTTTATAATTAAAATATTTGAATATTTCTACAATATAATTTACATATAACATATACGTTGTTATATGATATATATATCATATATGTTATATACACATATATATAAAACATAGTTAATATATATATTTTGTATTACATGTCTCGACTCTCAAAATATAAATTTTTGTATGTTTTTACGAACTATCGAGATCATTATTCCTTCGGTAAAGATTTATTGGTGGCCCTGAAAAGGGCCGTTTACAATATTTGAGAAGGCAAACTAAGCCTTTTTCTCAGTCTTCTTCGGTAATAATACTGCTTGAATGTTCGGCAGCACGCCACCTTGTGCTATTGTCACTCCAGAAAGTAATTTGTTCAGTTCTTCGTCATTACGTATGGCTAGTTGCAAATGACGCGGTATAATTCTTGTTTTCTTGTTGTCCCGGGCAGCGTTACCAGCCAATTCCAAAACTTCAGCGGCCAGGTACTCCATCACGGCTGCCAAATAAACCGGCGCGCCGGCACCAACGCGTTCTGCATAATTTCCCTTTCGCAAAAGACGATGAATACGACCGACTGGGAATTGCAATCCCGCCCTGTTAGAACGCGACTTAACTTTGCCGCTCTTAACTTTACCGCCTTTCCCACGCCCGGACATATTATCAAGTGACGAAAACAATGAATCGTTTCTGAAACGATATCGTTCGATCGTAAGGTTTCGCTCGATATTATTTTTTGAATCGCCGTTGCTCCGAATATATATTCCGAAACGGCGGCAGCGAAGCACCAATCACAACGCGCATGGAGTTTACAGCTCTCCAATTGGTACACTGTACATGGGAAGGGGTAAAACTCGAACGAATCTCCGGTTATTCTTCCCTTGTTCTTTTTTGTAATTTTTACTTCAAAATCTACTGCAAAAAAATTTTTATTATTATTTTTATTATTGTATATAAAAATTTATTATCTCACGTTTGTGCGTTTGACTTGCAATTGCCATATACATGAAATATACTTGCTCGGATTCCTAGATCTCTGAGTCTTTTTAAGTGACAAACACTCCAACGATCATTCTGTAAATCCAATAGTCCTAATTGTTTCGATTTAAACGCATATTTTGTAGTTAATTGTCGAATTTAGTAGCTGCATTGTTCCATTAGGGAAGATTTATGTCTTACAGAAAACAGAAAAGGAAGATTTGCTGAGTTGCATTCATATGTACCACAATAAGGATATATATCATTTACTGTAAAATTTGAATAGAAAAATGTTTTGCCGATTCACATTGAAACATTCATATTAAATGTTACAATTTACCACGGCAAAACATACCTGGTGGATCCGCAAATTCCAATCACATTATTGCTTTAAAATATAATAGCATATAAAATATAATAACAAATATGACTCTCTAAATAATTACAAAACACGATTGAATACTTTGAATGCATAGAAAAACTCAAGTCGATCAGATCAGAAAGTGAAACATATAGAAAACACGCGTTGATCAAATGTGTAACTATAATTGAATTCCTGTCTCTATTCCCGATTCATCGAATAGATTATAAATGAAACAAATATTCAAATAAATCTAAGTAAATCATTCATTATTCGTATTGAATAGTAAGATTCATTTTGTTTGCAAACTGAATTAATTTTATTTAATTAATAATTTAGGTAATGTATGAGATTTCGCTACTTTGTATTTATTATTTTATCAAGTGACTTTAGAATCAAAATGGATATTAACAAACGTATTTAATGTTATTTAACGTTTTCGGATTATAAAATATAAATGTTATTGTTGAATTAGAGAAAAGCTTTAATATAGTATATCTTTGTAGTATAATATACCCTTGGTATACCCTTGGTAGTTTAGTATTATATTATTATATATTATTAAGTTTTAATAACGGTTAGATCATGTCTATTCAATGAAAGTTAAAGGAACTAATTTATATATTTCTGAAGTATAACCTCAATAAGGTTTGAATTGTTGAAGGAGTATATATATGTATGTATATACAATGTATATACAATTAAATTCATTTTTTATTCTGAACAAATTTTTGTTTCGTTCTGTATCTTGAAAATTTAGAATTTTAGAATAATAAATCATATTGAAGTAATTGTGATCTATTGTAAGCCTGTGTGTTATACGTTTTCAGATGACAGCACGAGAGCGTCAGTGTGGAAAACTGCCTCTCTTTCCTGCTGCGCTCTGATTGGTGCGCTGTTGCCACACTGGTTTCCTATAAATAGGGTGATGCAGGGACCTGGAAATCATTCGTGAAACTGCTCCGAACGAGTAAGTCAGTGAAGAAAGCAATACTAATTGTCGACAATGCCGCCAAAGACTAGTGGAAAGGCAGTGAAGAAGGCTGGTAAAGCCCAGAAAAATATTAGTAAAGCCGACAAGAAGAAGAAACGGAGGAGGAAGGAAAGCTATGCTATTTACATTTACAAAGTTTTGAAACAAGTGCATCCGGATACTGGTATTTCAAGTAAAGCCATGAGCATCATGAACAGTTTTGTGAACGATGTTTTTGAACGCATTGCGGCTGAGGCATCTCGCCTGGCCCATTACAACAAACGATCCACGATTACGTCTCGGGAAATTCAAACTGCAGTACGTTTACTTCTTCCTGGTGAATTGGCTAAGCACGCGGTCAGTGAAGGGACAAAGGCCGTTACCAAGTACACTAGTTCCAAATGAACAATTGACAATTTATTTCGACTGGCCCTTTTCAGGGCCACAAATGTTTAATACATAGGAACTACATTCTCTTATGTTCAAATAGTTTTTACTCCTTGTTACATTACCTTGCAGTTTCTTAGATATATTGGTGGGAAAAAACTATAAGCACCATAAACTTCTAAAGAATTGAGTTGAATATTTTTACTATTACTTTATTACTATTGCAATTATTATAATTAATACTTCAAAAAACTAACAAAGTATTATGATTTCAATAAAATGAACTTCGACTGGATTTGGTTTGAATACATTTTTTTAGAAAACGAAAGTATTTAATATTTTATGTACGAAAAACATCAAGAATATTGAACTAACACGTTAAAATCATGTTGACAATGAAAAAGAAAGTACAATGGAAATATAAATTTTTATTTTACTATACTGTACAAAATGGAATACACTGAGTCGCCTTTGTAAAGTCCTAGACGAGAGGATTTAGGTTTTATTCAATTTCTTTGTTCTGATAACCGAAACATGATTGTTTGAACTACTGACCTAGTGATTCGTATTAAGAGGCCTAGGAATTCTCAAGTTTTCGTTAACAGGAAACATGAGGGATTTGCTATTATTCGGGGCATGAAAGAAAGAATGTAATTATAAAAATGTAATTACAAAAACATTTATATTGGCACGTACAAATAAGATCATATAACAATATGTGAGAGAGAGGAATCGCTTATTTTGCCGTTTCCACGAAACTTCTTTCCAGCTTCGTGTTATATATTTACATGCATTTGAACACTTCGACGTACAATTAGAATATGTAAAATAGTATTGAAATTTAGTTAACTAACAGTACAATAAAAAATATTACCGGGTTTCACTTATTATTAAGTAGCAAGCTTATTATTAAGTAATAAAATAACATGCGAGAATATAAAAAGAGTTTTGTAAAATTATGGTTTTCAAATAAACGTCACAGTCTTCAAATAATTTAGAAAATCAAATTCGTAATAACGCACTCCTAAATATATTTCCCTCAAATTTTCAATTCGTTGTAAATTCATTTGCATTTTAAATGTGCCGTCTATCTCTACTCGTGTAGAAAGATATAAACACTCATGGGTGTTATATAAACAGAAATACGTCTGTATAATATTGAAATTCTACTTGTCAGTTCATAACCTTTTGCAGATGTAAACTTTCACCGAGTGATGAATTTTATTTGAAAAAACAATTCAAGAGTAACTCAAATTGAATAAACAGCAATAAAAAAATCATAGCTTTAGATTTGAACGATACTAATTTAAAAATAATTTTGTTAGGTTATGTTTTTTTTTGTCACGTAGAAAACTGTTGTAAATTATATATTATAATTATTGTAAATAATTATAACATATTGTAAATTATATATTATAATTATATATTATAATATATAAGTATATATAACAAAATTAATACTGTTTAAATTGTCTTAAGATATTGTTCCTTATTAGATATGAATTGTGGCCCTGAAAAGGGCCATTTGGTTTTAAGAATTCGAGAATTCTATATCTAGAAATTATTTCTTTGCTGCTGATTTGACTGCTTTCGATGCCGCGGCTTTCTTTGGTTTTGGTGTTTTCGTCTTAGCTGCTGGCGCTTTGGTCGTCTTCTTGCTCTTCGATATGGCTTTCGATTCGGTCGCTGGTTTAGCTTTCTCGACTTTTTCGGGTTTCGGTGCTGCCTTAACGGCTGATTTCTTTACAGCTGTAGATTTCTTAGTAGCTTCAGTTTTCTTCGGAGAGCTTGGTTTCTTCGTCGGCGCAGGCTTTCGTGCTGGTGTCGTTTTCTTTTCCACGGATTTTTTAGCTTTCTTCAGTTTTGATACTTTGACAGTTCGGTGAATCTTCTTCGATTCGGATCCCTTAATTGTCGATAGTTTGAACGATCCGGAAGCACCTTTACCTTTTGTCTGAACAACAGCTCCAGATGTAACAGCCGACTTTAAGTATTTTTTAATGAATGGCGCCAATTTCTCTCCGTCGACTTTGTACGTTGTTGCAATGTACTTCTTAATCGCTTGGAGTGACGATCCTTTGCGGTCCTTCAGTTCTTTAATGGCAGAATTTACCATTTCGGAAGTTGGTGGATGAGACGATTTCGGACGTTGCGATTTTGTAGACTTCGGCTTCGCGGTCTTCTTGACCGGAGTATTGCTCTCCGCACCTTCCACAGAGGTATTTCCACCATGTGCCTTGTCCTCCATTTCAACAGTTATTAATGCAAATAATTTCTTCTTCTTCTTCGTAAAATGAAACGAAATTCAGCAAAAAACAAGTAGCACAACGATCAATATACTGATAATACTGAGGAATAATCAGACACCCCTGTTACGCGCATATAACCAGAGAGCGCCGACCATAGAGAGAGACCCGCTGAATATGTTGAGCGCTGGGTTTCTCTAAAAACGGTGAAGCGGTAAATAATCGTTTAAATTAAAGTATGATTATTTAAAATAATGCATCGATCAAGATACAAAAACTACATGAACAGGTAGCCATGTGTATCCGGTCTTATTCAGTAGCTTTTATTTCCCGCTAAATGTTATTCGCTTTCGTGCACGGCATGATTTTCGAACGAGTATCTCTTCACTGCATCAGGATTGCTTGTGGAAAAATAACAATAATTCTTCAGTTATCGCAAAATTAATAGGAAATTTTCGTTATTAATCATTCTAGTAGGACCGACGCTGCTAATTATCAAGTATTTCTCGTAAAAATTTGATTAATGGTTGTAAAATTATAAGTTTAAAATAGGCACTGCCGGAATGCATAGTCTTCTAGAGAATGGACGACGAAGCCTGTCTTGATGTTTTATAACTCAATGATCTATGGTATAAAATTGATGTAATTTTAGCTGAATCGTACATCGATGATAACGAATAATGGTAAAACAATTAAAATATATAAAGAATTAATCGAGGAAAAGACCGATTCAGTACCTTTGCTTCGAATATGATGCACAAAAGTCATAACCTCATTACTGAATAAAAAACCAAGATATTCATTATAAATCATGCAATATTAAATTTGATTTTTCTTTTTTTGTTAGACTCAGACTATATTTTAATAGAAACATTAAATTTATCGAAATAAAATTGTTGTAAAAAAAAAGGAAAGTTTCACGAAAAGGAAAACAATATATCGATGATGTGATTCTAATGAGCTTGCTGTCGAATAATTTTTATTTTATTTTAAGATGGCATTTATTATTTAAAATCTTAAAACACTTAAATAAATTCTAAGAACCGATGGTGGTTCTTTAAAAACAATTTTTTTTTTTCAATACATAATAATATAAATCATGTGATATAGACATAAAGATTGCGTTATAAGATGGCTACTAAGCACCTATTGCGCGTAAAAAATTATTACAGGTTTTATTAGAACAAAATGTTGAATTCTTCTTATATACATTGTAATATAAATGTATAAGAGATATAATAGTTATACGAGATATAATGTAAATATATAAAATTGTTTTAATGCTATGGAAAATTATCAAGACAGCTAATCATCTGACATGAAAGCGATGCTTAATTGTCTAAAGTAGACATCTTGTTTTAAACATCATTTGTTTTATATAGCTATAAAATTTCATTTATTAATTTTTTATTATGCTTATAAAATGTTTTATTTAGTAAATTGTTGATACACTATAATACTTTGTAATCGATATACAGAATTTATTTTAAAGGAATTTATTTATTCCTTCGTCCTCGTCTTTTGATATTCTAATCTACAATTTTACATCTTTTGCTTAATTTTGTTTAATATGCGACAATTGAAATTCATATAATGAATTATGTATATGTATATGATTTTATGTAATTAATCAAGTTTTTTCGCACACATATATAGGTACACATATAAACATAATTTACATATCTGTAGATGAAGTTATAAAAGTATGATACGTTCACATAGGGTGCGCCAGCAGTTTGAGAAATTCCAACAATTTCAGCTACATCTTTTGAAACAATGTCATATAAAAAAATTATTCAATGAATAAAATAAGTGGTATTTTCAATTGTCGGACGTTTCGAGAAGGGTGCTTTCATTTGGAAATAGCAATAACTCTTAAGAAACTATTTATGCTTATGATTTACACAACTTGCAGCATATGCTCAAAAATAAATCGTACTTTATTATTTTAATTTAAGATAGGTATGGCAATGTACAATGGTAGATAAGTTTGTATAAATAGAAAAAGATTTAATTTTAAAAAAACTTGGAAAGACTTTACAATTGTGTTTTGCTAAAAAATAAAAAAATAAAATTGAACGTGTTAATTTGTTTTACTTTTTTTTTCATAATTAAATTACGACTCGTTTTTGCTAAATTTTCATATTGAGGTTATGTCCTGATTATTTAAAAATTACATTGAGTTCAGTTTGAAACGATTATCTGAATATATGCGTATCCAGAATAATTCTCATTTTAATGAATTCATGATAAAATTTAAACGTAAATGTCCAATTTATGTTCACTTGCATACCATTTAACAATTTAAAAAAAAAAGAAAAAAAAGATACAGTGAATCTTATGTGGCCTTACTTTTTCCAATTTACATAATTTAATGTAAAAACAAATTTCAAACGAATAAGAACTGACAGGATAGATTAGCCGAAAACATAAGTGTTCTATGTAAGCGCGCGAAAATTTATGAAAACGGTGCAGTAATAGTAGTGACAAAACGTTTTGCAGCAACCAGTCTCTTTGGGTGGGGAAAATCAATAGGAAAACCGAGATTAAATCGCAAGTATGGGTTATTAACGTTTAACGAATAAATCGTGCAGCGATATTTTTTAATACTGCGATATGCGTACGAATGTGCCTGTGTTCGTGAAATCTTTACAATGACGCTTTCGAAATGTGGCGTCTCTTGATAGACAACGGGAATTTGACTGAATATAGTGTGCACTCAGTTAACGTTAACAACTGTGTTCAATAAGAAGAAAATGTTAAAAAATTACGTGATTGATGCTTCTTGACATCTAATTTGAGGAACAAGATATCAAGTTATAACTTAACAATGTTGATATTTCAAGAAATTTTGTTGGTCTGCTTTGCATTGTGTACTTTGTCGCAAATAAATTACGTTAAAAGTACACATATTTCCGGCACTTTTAATACAAAGGAATTTTTTCGTTTCCTAATAAAATTCGGTTTCCAAAAAACTGATCGTCATCGACAGAGAGATTCATATGGATATATTTTCGGCAATGTGACATCGAAAAGCCACTTTCCTGTTCCAATCACATTAGCAGTTTTGGATCGTGGTCATTTTTTAGAATACTATGGTAATCGTACATTAAAAGACAAAAACACTGCTTGCACTCTTATGTTTAACACTCTAAATCAAAGTTCTTATGATGTACACTGTAACGAAGAAGGACAAGATTTTTTAAGGTATGTTGTTTCTTTAAATTTGCTTCTACATTTTTTATTCTTTACAGTAATATTTTGTAATTTTGTAATTTTTTGATGTTCGAAATTTCACTTAATTTCCTCTTTTTTATGAAGGAGAATACCTTGTCCAAAGGGTAAATTATGTCCAGATGAAGATTCCATATGGAACATTGTGAAGGGATATCAATTTACATACGTCATACAAGATTTTTGGCAGCCACGTTTTTGGTATATGAGCCTAGTGGCATGTTATAGGAATACGACTACTTGTCAATGGGAATACTATGATAAACATGATGAATTAGAATATGATATTTGGCTAGTAAACGGAAATCCAAATACTAGTGGCCTAAATAGCTTGACATATCAGTTTTCGTATGACAGACAAAATACTATAGAACTGTACTTGTTGTTTTTTATGTGTTACATTATACTTGTGCCATTGCAATTATATGCTGTAAGATTACAAAAACATCCTGTAACTAGATTATTCACAGCTAGTTTATTATTGGAGTTTATAGCAGTATGTTTAATATTAATACACGTGTTGAAATTTGCTCTTGATGGAGTAGGATATGAACAGTTAGAAGTTGCTGGAGATATTTTTGATATTTTATCAAGAGTGAGTTCCAACAAATAATTTTCTCTCTTTTTGACATAAGTGAGTTGTTCATTATACTGTAATTATGTAATTTTACATAATTATTTTTATGCGGTTTAGACGTCATTCATGTTACTTCTTCTCTTACTTGCTAAAGGATGGGCAGTAACTAGAATGGAATTGACATGGAAGCCATTGGTTTTTACTATATGGCTTTGTTATGGAGTGGTTCATATTCTACTATATGTGTGGAACATGGTATGTTTTCATTCATATTTTTTCCTGTAGAAATGTAATTTTATTTAAATACAAAAATAATATTTTTAGACTGAAGTTGACATTATTGAAGATATTGATGAATACCAAACATGGCCAGGCTGGTTTATACTTCTATTTCGTAGTGTAATAATGATTTGGTTTTTATGCGAACTTAGAAATACTATGACGTATGAACATAATACTCAGAAATTAAATTTTCTACTTCATTTTGGCGCATCATCGTTGGTTTGGTTCATTTATTTACCTATTATAGCACTTATTGCTCTTCAAGTAAGTGCATTATGGAGGTTCAAACTCTTATTAGGCAAGTATATCATAAAATTTTAAATATGATATCATTTTTATTTATGCATTTTTTATGTTTATAGGTATTACATATTCTGCTGATTGTTTTGCATATTGTGTAATGGCACATTTACTTTGGCCAACAAGAAGCGAACAATATTTTTTACTTGCACAAGGAGCTGATAATGGGGATGAACTTGATGAATTTAATGAAGCGCCACATGTATTGAATAATTATGTAGAACCTCCAGAACTTACTAAAATAATTGCTTAATGTCAAGACACAAAAGGCAAAGCATCACAGATATGAAAAAATTCAAACTTATAGTTTGACACATGCTGTTTGCCAAATAACAAAAATTTTATAGAGTTGATATTACTCTGCTATATACTTGAGACTGACATACTCTGAACACTGTGTAATTAGAGATACACTAATAATCAAATTTACATTTGTGATAGGAAGTCAGTGATTGACACAATGAAGAATAAAATGTGTGAGTATGATGAATATCTCTAAAGCAATTTTCTATTTAAAAAAAGTATAGACATATAATTGGGTTGTAGTAGTTTCTAGATATAAATAGATATTGTTATTTTCTATATAGGGTGTTTGGTAATAGATGGTAAAGAATTTAAAGGTTACTTTTATAAACCAAGATAAGATGAAAATAAAGAGGAAAAAGAATTTCATTTGAAATTTTATTTAGAATCGACCAAATGGAAATCCGGTAGAGTTCACTAAATGAATATAGGGCAACTTAAATAATGCAGCAACGGCGTATAATTAAGAAAAAGGTAACAATATGTATACATAAGCCAAAACAAATGAAAAGTGTATTCTGCAGTATATTCATATACAAACACGTATATACGAAATAAAAAATGAGAAAACAACTACAAAAATTGACATATAAATAAAAAAAAATATCCTAAATTATTGCGATAACTAGTTCTTCCAACACGTTTCGGTTTCGTCAATCGAAGTCTGTTTTTCTGAAATTTTTCAAAGCAAAAAAACTATTATAGTAGGAAAATCACTTTTAAATAAGAATACAAGTCCTAAATATACTGTCCACCAGATGTGTTTAAAGCATGTTTATGATCATTAGGTCAATAAACACGATAATAGATAGATATTGAGTCATTTTACTTTTTGTCACTTTGCCGGATCTTCGTATTTTATTTGATTTTTACTTGCCAGTAATTAATTAAATTATCAAAGTTTAATTTTTTATTTTATTTTGATTAATAAATATACTCTTTAAAATTTTTATCGTCTTTTGCAAAATATTCTATATAACTTTTATGCCATTGTACATAATAATAAATAGCATAATAATAATCAATATTTAACATCTAAGGGATTATTATGTTACATATAATGGTACTTGTATACATATAGCCTTTATTTATATTTTCTACTATTTACAATACTACCAAATGCAATCCTATCACTGTAATGTAAAATTTCGACTTTAGAATGCTCATGTCATTCTTGAATCATAAGAATTTAATACCAATTACTGATTTACCACCATTGTCTATTAATTACATGTAAAAAATTCAATAAGATAATCATACACAATTGTATTCATGAAAGATGTTAGTTTTTTAAATCTCCAATTGCTTATTATATATTCTATACTTATGTACATTTCCCCTGTATGAAAGCTATTTTAATGCACATTTTAGAAAAGTATGATGAAAGCTGAAAATAAATTGATACAATTTTCTTTATATTAATTTTATTAGCATATATTTGTAAAGACATGTTTGATTCTAATGTATATAAATGAAATTGTTCATCAATATATTATACATAAGATTCTTATAAAAAATATCCTATATGTATTAATAATTTTTTCAGCATTGCAGTAGATACTCTATTAAAATTTGAACCAATAGAATTATTATAAATATGTCGTTTATGTATTTTAACAATGTCATCTTAAAATTTTTTTGATCCAAACCTATTTTTTTAAATAAATTTGTTTAAATAAATGGCGCCACAAAATATATAAATATATCCTATCTGAAACATACAAAGCAATGATGCTTTATGCAAAAGTTTTATTCATTAGTATTGGTTTATGCCCTTATAGCCAACTATAACTAATTTGCTCAATCTTATAACAAATTAGATATTAAAATAATAAAACATTTATCTAATATATTCATAAATTGTGTATATGTGTATTTCAAGATACAATAATTCTACTATATTAATATACTAATATTTACAAAAATAAATTATTAACGATGAAACAGTTCTAAAACCATAACATTTTCTCCACATTTATTCATAATAAAATCTAACACTAAGAAAGATGTAAATAAAATAATTCTAAAAAAATTGTTTATGCATAGCAATGCTTTTTTATTTCATAAAAAGGATTGTGTTGGACATGGTTGCTAGTACAAATGTTTATTTTATTTTTGGAGTAAAATTAATTATGTGAAAATACCTATTATTGATAGATACTTTCAAAAATAAAAAAACAAATGTGCAAATTATGCTGGCATAAGCTTGCATCCAGGATTGTTATGAAATAGTGCGATAACTAAAGATATTCTAATTAAAATTATTCTGTATGTATGTTTTTTAATACATAGAGTTTTTAACAACTACATTTTGTTGATATCCTCTTGTATAAAAACTAAATAGAAATACAATGCTTTAGTTATTAATAAAGTATTAATTAAAACATAAGAGTTTCAAATCAATTATAGATTTATTTAAATAACGTTACTATTTATACACTTTTAATAAAAATAATTTTATTAAATAACTTTATAATAACTTTAAACGTAAGGTAAGATCATCTATTAAATGTTTTGGACCAGGTCCGATTCCAAGAGTAGATGTTGTACCAGGTTTTAATTCAGTTCTACCTGCATCTTTTATTATAGAAATAATTAAACCAGCTTTACGGGCATTATTAGCTAATAACATTAGTTTCTCTTCACTAGATATCCTCAATACAATTTTAGGTTGACCTTGCAATAACCAAGATTCATATATTTCTTGATATTTTTTATTAGCTGATATTTGACGATAACATTCTATTGCAGCATGGGCACATTGAGCAGCAGTCTTTCCCTTTCCCATAGTTATGTCTGATCTTACGACTAGCACCATTTTATAATGTTCACTTTTTAAGTATTTTATAGGATGAATAAATATACGTTTTATATAATTTATTAACGTCATATTTATTTATTTGAGTATGACTCTTCTCTTTTTCTTTGATATTCTTCCATACACACTCTGAATTTTTGTACTTGCTCTTGACACTTTCTCCAATCTTGATTTTCTGCTATACATTCCTATAAATGTAAAAATAAAAAATTAAAATTTTTATATTATATGATTCTAGAATTACACATGTTTAGGTTAATACTTGAACTTCATAATGAATTTCCATACAACCAGTCTTTTTTAACATTTCTTCAACAGGGTCAACAACATCTTGTTGATGCGTAGTTAAATTAGGAATCATTTTACATTTCAGTTATATACAAAATATTAAATAATTTAATATATAATAGATCGTAATATAATTGATCGTTCGTTGAGGTTACTATTCTACTGCATTATACTATAATAAACTATATATATCATAGAACCTATTTTCATAGTATTATGTAAAACTAATAAGTTGGCACATGAAATAATATCAAATAAAGAAAAATATTCATTTTTCATGCTTACTGTTACGAGATAATAAGCATGACTTTATTTGCAAATGTAAAACTTTCAGTTAATACATGAGTTTATTTTTATAATTTTATTTTTAGAAATAATCAGTTACAATCTTTTTGTTGCTCTATTGTTCTATGCGTTAATTTACTAGCTTTATACAGTCAAATAATGAACTGGCAATAGTGTTGGGATCATTACTTCGATATAAACATAACCTTATTAACATAATTTTCTCAATTTTGTGAAATGTTCATTTGCAATAGAATATGTTGACATACTAAATAATAATGAACAATAAGTAATAAGTCAGGTTTCTTATGTATATTAATTTATTTTAATCTTTTTAGTGTAGTACATACAAATATTGTCCTATTTTAAATATACATATGTAATTTTTATTTTACTGCAATATCTATGTATAATAACAAGAAAGATCAGGTATATCTAAATTAATCTCTGTAGGAAAACTTTTGATCGACTGTTTGCACATTACAATACAAAATACTGAAAGTAGGACTTCTGATTCCTAATATCTGCAAACGCAGTGTTGCCACGTTAAATATCACTATTTGTATCTAAAATAAGCCAGTGGGAAGAATAATTATCACATGTACAAAGCACTAGCCTCGATATATGCTGCAGCTAGTGTCTTGAGTTCTTCACTAGATGACAATACGCCATGGTACAGTAGAGTAAAAAATATGACAAGTAACATGTTTTATTATATGTGCATTCAGTATACCATTCTTCGATTTTTATTCCCTACTATCAGTCGGACACACGAGTTAAATTAAAAATAGTGTCGATGATTGTGCACTCAAATACTGATTATAATTACGTCCACACTGGGGCGTTAAGTGTTCATCTGCCGGCCGTCAACTACAACATTTTTGTAAGTATTTTTCGCGTTTTTCTTACTATGATGACTTAAACAACTTTCCCTTTCTTAAAAATATGATCATCAGTCATAAGAAACTGTTCAATAAAGATGTTTCATTTATAATTCATGTTTTTTTTCATCATAATTTGCAAGATGATATAACAATCCCATAATTCCATAGCACGTGGGTGACGCACGTTAACTACGAATATATCAAAATGAAATGTTACTATGTTTAGCTGATTTATGCATAGAGATATAATCACTAAAATTTTCATACTTAAGTCAACATTGTGGTTAATTGCATTACTAAAAATGAAGAAAGGGACACTCAATTATTTTACAAAGAAAAAGTTGTGCTTATTAAACATGCTCTACTTGTAGATTTTATGTATGGTTACTGCATTGCTTTCGTATTGATTCTGTCCATAAAAAATCAAATTACGTCACATACTGGAAAACGAATTAGCCTCATATTAGACATTAAATATAATTGGTGATGTGGTTAGATAAAGTCACAACTATTTTAATTCAGATATGTTACTTTTGTCAGTCACGCTACAATTATCGAATAAATAATTATTTTTCCTAATTTTTATTTAATTTTTATAAAGAATGTTTTCTGCGTTAATTTTTTCATTTTAACAAAAATTTCTTAAAACAGAATGTACATGTGAGCAATATAAAGTCGAATAATAACTGTTACATAATCTAATCATGACGTCATGTAAATATTAAAAGAAAATCTGTTTTGTTTATGATTGCAAATAGGATCTTTTATATTTTCGCGCCAAGTAATACAGCGACTTCAAACGGCAACAAATTGCAAAGCTTTAATACCAATTTCGCCGGTAGATGGCTATGATGATTTGCTGCGTTCTCGCAAGTGCTTAATTTCGTATTTAGTTTCTATATAAGAGCAGGACACTACTTGTACTTTCGGATAGTCTGAAGCTTCCCAGGTAAAAATCAGCGCATTATGCGGCCATTTTACAGACCACATCATGTGTCCGGTACTTTTACGTACAGCCTTACGACCGTGTCGTCATCGAAAATTGTTTGTTTACTTTGTAAAACTAACTGTGGAAGTAACGCTGGACTATCTTTTTGCAATTTTTATTTCAATGATTGTATGTATTTCGTTATTTTTAGACATTAAATTTCTTTGCTACTTATTAACTTTCATTTCAGTCCTTCATTTATTGTAGTTTATATCTGGAATGTATTTGTTACAGGTTTTCATTGAATAACAATAACATCATCTGAAGTTCACCTTATCTATATTATCTACCTATTTGCAATTTTATCTTATATATTGATAATTGAATTATTATTAATAAGCCAAACTAAGTAAGTGTTAATTGCGCTGCAAAATAAAACACTTAACGCGTGCTTGTATCCTTGATTCTTGAATCAAATGTTGAGCCAATCGAATCATTTTTTTATCTCGATACATAAAATTGAACGTTCTTGGTATAAAAGTTAAAACGATATATATGCATGATATATATAGCAACCTGGTTGAGTTTCAGTAGCGAAGTTGAAAAGCGCGGGAATTTATGAAAATCCTATTGATAACGGATAATTTGTAATGTTCGCGGGCGCTGCGCGAATTTCAAGGCGACGGCTGGGTTCGAACGATTGACAGTTAATTTTAGACTGTAGTCGTTGCCAGTGATGGCAACCACGACAAACGGACGACAAAAGCCTCCTTCTCTCAAAAGAGATACGAGGAAGAACACGATTTGTGACTTGGGATGATATGTAATCGGTTTTAGGTAAGACGAAGCGAGAGGTAAGGAAAGCAGAAGGTGAACAGACAAAGGTGCCTTGCGCGTGTTCTCTTTGGTCGAAGCGTGCCCGATACATCGGAAAGATGTGCTAATAAGTAAACGATTTTAGTAACTGACTTTCTTTTTCTCTAGTTGGACGCTCGTGCAACGAATCATTCGACTTTGACCGTCATCACGGGCACAACTGGTCGTCGTTGCGGTCCTGTTGCGTAAAAAATTGGCGCGCGTTTTGTTTTTGGTACTGCTGAATTATTAATCGGCCGATCATGGAGGAAGAAGCTGTGGAAGGGATTTCAATGAAAAATGAGGATCCAAATGCGATTGAAAAATTGGAAGAGGACGAGGATGGGACATTCGACGATTCCAGCTTCCCGGAGTTGGAACGCACGCAAACTGGTCGCAAGACGAGTATCTTCAAATATTACTCGTTCAAAGAGAAAGGTGAGCCCTATTTGTCTTTGATGAAATTCTAACGTTAAAGGAGTAACCTTACGTCGTTATCAATTTTAGAAATTCACCAAGGAAATGTTATCTGATCGTCGCGGCTTTCAAGAATTATTCGATCGATGTTTCTCTTAAGTCTCGTTAGGTTGTTCCAATTCTTTGCAAGTTAATCGTGGCGACAATATTCTTATCAGGAATATTTTGTCTTTAATGCGCGATAAAGAAATATCAACTTTTAATCCATCGATATTGATTGGCATTTGTGAACGTAAAGAAAAAAAAAAAAAAACAAAGAGATACGTTACACATGATAGAAAGTCAGGAATTTTAGGATCGGTTGAACAAACGCGTGTTTGTAATTCCGCGTAGCATTAGTAGTAGCAAAATACAGAAAGATACAGATAATTAACGACGCATTATTACACATTGTACAACTCGTATTTTATAACTCGTAAATATCGAGCACATATGCGTATATCCATAGCACAGGAAACTTTGATGAAAAGATTTCAAATTCAATGTATTTTAAAATTGATCGTCTCTAATACTGTAAAATGAAATTGTTTAAATTTTCAATTTTCATTACGATTCATTAATATCCAATTGGTTTAAATAAATAATTATGACATTCAATGTTCACAAAATAATGCTAATACTCGCTCGAGGAAATATATACATTTGTATCCAAACACGAGATATCGAGTTTCGTAAGTCGAACAACGAGCATGGTGCATCATGCAACGCCAGGTGGTGTATTAATGCATCGCGTGAAGTATCACGAGATTGACGACCTCGTGTCTTGCGGACTTGCGGATTCCATTGCCAAACTATGTACGTGTGTGTCGAATAGACGTTCTCCAACTACACACATAGAGAGAGACCGATCGTTATATTTCGAAGGTAAACATGATCAAATCAGGTTATTCAAGGTGTCACGTGGTTCACGATCACTCTGAAAATAGTTTTTGGCTTCCGAAACGAAGAAATTTGCGGTATATACATCCTCTTTCATTACCGTTGAGCAATAGAGAACTTACGTTCACGAACATATATAATACGTTCATATCATGTTGTTTCAAATGTGATTCGTGACAAATGTAAAGCAATTCGTCAATTAGAATGAAGGAAAAGGATTACAAGTATCCTAAGATGCATTTACAAATGTTAATTACGGTAGAACGTGAAATTAAAAAATGCAAAAATATTTCACAAACGATTACACATTACGATGAGCTACGTTCCCCTGGGAACTTTTGTTCGCTTTTTGCCATTAAAGAACGAAATCGATAACGTAACTCGGTCGAATAGCACGGACCTGTTTCACAGGCAGGCAGAAATATAAGTTAACAGCGTGTTATGTAACACCGCATAAACAATTAAGGATAAGTACTTTGTACAATATGAAGTGCTACTCGATAGTAACACGTAAATGGACAAATACCTCTGACCAATCCAGCCCATTTTTGCCGCACAACGTCACGATGCATTCCGCATGCTGAAGCTGACTTGTTTCGCGCGTGTTACGCACTTCGAATTGTATTCCTGCACGTGGAGGATGCAATCCCTCTCAATGCAACGAAATCGCGTGCCATACTTACTGTTATCCGAAGCAACTTGCAGGAGAATCTTCTGGACTTAAATTGGATCGAAAGTTTTAGATTCGAAGAGTATGCGGCAAAATTTACGATTGAAAGAAGTATGGCATAATATTGAGCGTATTGGAAGAAAGAAACGAGAGACGTATTGAAAAAAGAGGAATAGATAGAAAGAAAGAGAGAGAAAAGAGAGAGTGTAAGTCTACTAGCCTATTTAATGGACTTATTAGTAAGACTACTACTTATATACATTCATGTGAAAGCATGAAATTTTGGAAATCTTTTTCCTTTGTATAGAATCATTCTATCTAAGGAAAGGAGATCCTTGTCTCTGCTACATAAAATCTGATATTAGTTATGTTTGCTTTATTCTTACGATGAAGATTTGGGATTTACTATCAGCATATTTGTGTCAGTGTTCATAGGAAAATTTTCAAAGAACTTGTCGGATGGTGCGCAACGATTTTCAAAAAAATATTTAGCAAAAAGTACAGAAAATTAGTAACTGGATATTATTATATGTTATTAATTGACACTTTCGGATAGATGAATTATGTTAGACCTGTGTTGTGACACATATATACAATATATCGAATTATTATAAAACGTATAGAGTTGAACAATGTTGATAATAATGGCACTCAGATTACAAAATTTTTACCAACTCTGTTACAGTTATGAATCTATTTATATAGACAAGCTACATTTACATTTACGTAACAGTAACACTTGACTCGAAAAGAATTGACTGTGACGACGATAAATGAAAAATTCTACGTTTTTTTTCTGAAAAAATACGAAGAAGAAAACTTCATCGTACAGTATTCAAATACTTATACAAATATTAATGTTCACAACATACACGTTACATTATATAACATGTACTTTATATAATTTCGATTTTTTCTCGTGACCTATTTGCATATCTGTTACAAGAAAGTTTCGTTTCTAAAAATTCTATTATCATTCTTTTACAACAGATAAAGACCTTCTTGAGAGTAATAACAGATAAAAACCTCCTTGAGAATCAACAAAAAAAATTATGTTTCAAAAAAAAAAAAAAAGAAAAGACGATTGAAAAACTAGTTTAAAATTCGTTATACATATAGTACCAATGATACCAGAAGTTTACAAGCAAACTTTTGTGTCCTTTGACATAAATTTCTGTATGATGACAAGCGCGTTTAGCCATATATATATATATATATATATATATA